CCAGGTCAAGAATCTGGGTGCCGACGCTGTTTTCGATTACAACGATCCAACCTCCGCCAGGGCGATTAGAGAGCAAACGAACGACAGTCTTACGTTAGCTTTTGATACGGTATCGGTGGAGAGCAGTGCCACGTTCTGTGATCATGCGCTATCGACCAAGGGCGGCGAGTACAGCTCACTCCTGCCAATAAAGACTGCTCGTGACAATATTCGAGACCGATCCACTATGGCCTATACGGCGTTTGGTCGGAGTTTCAAGTTTGGGCCAAGAGAGGTTCCTGCTCAACCAGGCGACCGGGCGTTTATGGAACAATTCTCTGGCATTTTCCAAGACTTGCTGACCAGTGGCAAGATTAAGACACATCCTCCTAGGATTGGTAATGCCGGGCTAAATGGTATCTTAGATGGGCTTCAGCTATTAAGGGACGGTAAGGTTCGTGGAGAGAAGCTTGTTTATAATATCAGAGATACTCATTGATCTCGAGATAAATTTGATCGACGACTATTCCCTATATTGATCCAGCCGAGTTAGTGATCTACCACCAGAAGGAGAATAAAACTTAACAAAATCAAGTAACATGTGCAGATCAACATATGTACTCATCGGAGCAAGAAAGGGAAATACTACAAGAATAGGGGTAACTCAACAAAATGTCAGACATTGCGAAATTGTTGCCCATACCTAGACTCCTACAGGATCTGCGCCGACTGTCTTATCTGAGTGAAGACTGGGTCATCACTCTGTATGGTCGACCTCTGCATTCTCTAGTAATCCCACCGAGAAGTGTAGAGCACGGCTGTAACGTTCGAGTCAAATCTGAGGTCGCGAGTGCTGCAAGGAACAAGAGAAGAACCACTCGAAAGGAAGACGAGCTCGTAGTACATGGATAATGAATAGTCTTTCATTATTTAATACCCTGTTCTTGATATGTTAAGCGAGAAGAAGTACTGTCTCAGAAGGCCATACTAATACGAGGTTACTCGTAAGGTATACGGTATGTGCCCAGTTTTACTCGAGGCTGAAACATGTCTATCTGCAGTTGAGTGAAGGAAATGAGAAGGGGGCGTTCATCCACTAAAGCGTGGGAATGTTTCAAACAGTGTAACCAAAATCGAAGGATAGTCTGAAAATAGACCACGCCTATCAGGTGATGCGATTCTATGTTTCATTCTCTCTCCAAAAGCAGCAAGCTGGATGCACCATAAACCCCGCACTTACTCATAGAGTTATCCTTGCACATATAGAGCTAGAAATATCAACTCATATGTTTAATAATTCAAAGCCTCTTTCGCATGGCCGGTCAGGATCAATAAGCTCCGGACCAGCTGGTATGCATAGACGCGCACATTGATGCGTATATCCCCTAGCGCAGGTGCTACTTACAGACTTATTGGGGAATAGATCCGCATCCCTCCGATACCATAGATGCTTTCTTTCGTCATCGAGCATAGATCGAACAAATGGGGTATGGGCCTGCCCCGGCAGCCATGTAGGTCTGATCCTGCATCTGCAGCCATCCTTCAAGTGCGATGCAACCTAATGCAACGAGATCTTCGAGCTCAGGCCAATTCATGCAATGCCGGTGCGAGGAGGGATTAAACCCAGTTTCTGGCGAGTCATCGAAGGAGCCGTTCGGTCTGAGTCACACTAATGCTGGTGCGTGTGGTCATGAGAAGCACCCCCCTGGGGCTTCAACGCAGTATCAGTGGTTGGGTTTGTATTCCATGATGGGACATACTAGAGTCAGAAGCCATGCGCTAGGCAACTACTATGTTCCTCCGCATGCGCCAATAGAGCTACCGCTATGACTGTTCTCTCTGGCCACGTAAATGTCTCAAATACTCCCATGGTGCTATCTTTAGTATATTCGGTTAAAGGGGGAGAGATGTGGTAGGTAGAGGGGAAACAATAACGTACAAGAAAGGTATTTTGCACACGCCCACCTTCTATCCAGAGCGCCTCAGCCATGCAGGGGTCTATCTAATCACATCGGCGACGCATGACCGATCGCCGCTCATGAGCTCAAATGATCGGCTGGAGGACGACGTTGCGTCTGACGACACCTTCCCCTGCAATATGTGTTAGTCCTCATTTCTTGAGTCATACTGTTTGGTTAAAGTGTGCCTGCAACTCTAGTTGCGCCTTAGCCGTGTGGGCGGATCGAGCCTGGGAGAAAAGAACATTTTAGTTAGCTGAAAGTTTGCTATAATCTAATTTAAAAGGTCCGATTAGTTATAGGGAAAGCCAGGAAAGGGAAATTTTGTCAGCCATTTGAAAAAAAACAATCAAAAAAGCAAGACAAAGAAAAGAGCGAAAAAGATGAAGACGATGAAGGCAGTAAAGCTAAGCCACACAGTGCGTGTCCTCACAATATGCAATATTATTTCATTTTTCTATATTTGTTTTCCTTGTGCAGACCTGTTGTTATGAGTAAACAAATAGTATATCTCAAGAACCAAGCCGCCTGAGAGAATTGGATTTGAGATCCTGTAGCCATTATTGGATCGCAGGGTGAACTAGTGGATACCAAATCAAGAACACAATAAAACCACGGCGACCGGGCATATCTGAAAATGATGAAGGGGATATGTGGTCTTTGGGCGTGGTGCAGTGTGGAGTCAGTGTGATGGTGGTGGGGGCGTCGTCTGATCGCTCCGGTTGAGTGTGGGTGACTTTAGGGCTTATCACACTCTTTGCCTAGAGACGATCCCGATACTATCAAGCAATGTCTCTGAAATCATTGATGAGAGCGCATCAAGAACCAAAGTGACATTCTGATGGCGTTAGCGTGTGTGTGAAAGGCCATCGAGACAATCCACTGGCTGAGACTCTTCAGAACCTAGTCAAGTTGCACCGGCAGCTGAAGATCGACTGTGCGTACCGAATTGCTCGGATCTGGGGTCACAAATCAAGGGGATCCTCTTCTCGGATACCTATCAGCTGGCGTGGGAATGACTTGCAGACTAGTCCGGCCGCTAGTGCCAGCACTAAGTCTATCACACTGGAACATCCTTCCAGTCATCGCCCACTTTGACCCTCCTCAACGATCAACCGTTGACTGGTCGAGTGCGAAGTGGTTTCAACTTCGCCCTTTTGGATTCACACCCAGCATCATCTGTAGTATTATTCAACACTGGAGGCTTTCCGTTCTGACTGGTGCCTTGTTTTGCCCACCCGGTGGTCGTGATGGGAAACCGAAGGGTCTAGGTCAGCCGATTTTGCCATGTGTGGTTACAGCAGGTTTATTGTCTCTCGGTTGAACATGGTATCAGTCATGTACCGCTCCGTTTAAAAGGAAGTACTCCGCCCCGTATTCCAGTTGCTTCCTGCTCTGTATAAAGTGTCCTACGAGTTCTGCGAGTTTAACAATCGACACCCGTGCAATGTGCTTGAAAGCCGACCACTCGCCAAGAACTTCCAGTGCTGGCGTCCTGCATACACACTGAAAGTTTATTGGCTTCTTGTCGCGCACCATACTACTAGGAGTACTACTAGTACTAACCAGGCTCGTCGTGGTTTTTTTCATCTGTCCTGTGCAATAGTTACTGCGACCGTTCGGCCCTTCATTCGATACGCTCGTATTCTTCATTTGCTATGGAGATGTGTCATTGATCCATGTCCCCTGCTAGCCATATCTCTACTAGTGTCCGTCGCTTCCGCGGGAACCCCATCAGTCACCGAGACGGAAATTTATATTGGCAGGGATCTGGTACAGACTCTCAGTCTGTGAGCCAAAAACCACCTCAGCTCCCCTTGTTTGACAAACTTCACGCTTTTGGAACTATCAGAGATTGTCTCAAATGTGAGCATTGCCTATCTGGCTTTTTGCCTCCCTTGTTTTTTGCCCCTCTCCCCCATCACAACGTACCGCGCTTGCCAGATTTAAATCCTTCGCAGATGACCGGGGGTGGAGACTCAAGTGGAGTGGATGCTTTTAGTAGCATCCGTACCGCACCCGTACCGTCACGGTTCTGCCCCTCTCCCATGACGCCATCTGGGCTCTTGGTTGGTTTTCCCCGCAAGCTAACGGTTGAATAGAGTTGCTTGTTCCCTGGTTAGGGCCTCTAATTTTCAGGGGAAATTCGAACAATTTTCCTCAGAGAAGGAAAATTAATAGACGAAACTTGGGTGCCAAAAGGGGAAAAGAAAAGCAAACCTCGCCGGGTTGACAACGGAGGCTCTCGCATGATTTGTTACCAGTTGAGGGGTCGGATAGACGTCGATCCGGAGTGCGTACGACTATTACTGTGTACAGTAGACCGATCTGAGGTGTTGAATCGTCCCACTGTGGGTTGGGGAAAGAAGAAAAAGGAAAGAGTCAAACACGAGCAAAGACAGACCCAGAAAAAAAA